TTTGCAGGATACACGGTCACTGTGGGCTCAGCTAGGAAAGAGAAGGCGGAGGGAGATGTGAGCAAGATAGGCAGGCCCTTGGTCGCTCCCTTTCGGCCTTGTCTCTAGTCCCAGGCTCCAGGTCCGGGCAGCTCCACTCAACTGCCCTGTGGCCCCGGCAGAAGGTAGTGCCATGGGCCTTGAATGTCCGTCTACATCATGGGCCGCTGGATTTGAGAAACGTTGAGGAAATTTGTGTGGGTTTTTTTTTCATAATTTGAAACAGTTACTCACTGTTTAATCAAAGTGTTTACAAATCTTTGGGAGGCACAGAGTGTGTGAGTTCCAGTGTGATTTCTGGAGCAGGGCTGCCTGGGTCACATCCAGGCTGTGCCTCTTACTGGCTGATCCTGGGAGACCCTCTGTGCTCAGCTCCTCACCTGCAAAGGGGGTGATAATACTAACTCACCGCTTAAGGACATATGAAGACCAATGGGCCTGAAACATGTACAACAGCGGCTGGAACGTAGCCATCACTATATGTCAGCTGTTTATCACATATGGAGAGAGAACATAAGGAAAGCCGTGGGGAGACCTGGGGAACAGCCTGGGGAGATGGGGACTCAGGGTATGAAGTCCTGGGAATGTGATCACACCTGAGAGCACAGAGATGGTCCCCCTGGAAGCAGGAAGGACGGGGGATTCCCTAGCTCCGGGGGCTGAGTCCTGAGGGAGAGGGAGGAGCAGGGCAGCATCATTATAACACTGACAGTGACACTCACTGAGCCACCCGCTCCTTCTCAAAAGAAGCCGACCTGTTATTGGGATTCCTGTCATTTTATAATTGTCTCTCTTTTCAAGCTGACATTTGAGCTCAGGGCAGGGTGTGGGACTGGGACTCATTAATACGTGTGCTTCCTGCTGAGACTAGGCTCAATGAATACAGATTTGGAGGAGGAGGAGGAATAGGAAGAGGAGCAGGAGGAGCACGAGGAGGAGAAGAAGAAACCTGGGGGAAACATTTTTACTGCACCCCAAAAGGGTAGATTTAAGATTGATGGTAAATCATTCCTAGCAACTTTGGAGTGCATTTCATTACCTTAAAGATGTTTAAATTCTTAACATGGAAAGAAATAAAACAGAATGAAAACACAAGGCAGGAGCAAGTGAAAATGCAGAATCAAATGTTAGCAAAGTGTCCATCTTGCTGCCTAGAGAGCCTGGAAAATCACTGAGAAAAAGGCCCAGACCCCAGGGATGATGGACAATAGACTATTCTTGGAGCAGAAACAGCCATTAGCCGAAACGTACGTGAAAAATGTTCAAGAACCTCAGAAATCAAAGAAGGATAAATTAAATATAAAAAACAAATTTCAGTTGAGTATTTGGCAAAATTGAAAAAATATTTAACAAAATACAATGTGAGGTAAATAGTCTCAACTCTAAACAGTTAACATGTAATGACTTAAATGCTGTCAGCCTGTGTGGATGTGACATCAGTGAGTTAAGTAACAAAATTACAATTAGACCCTGGCTCACCATCACCCCCTCTGTAAACACAGGGGCCCTGAGGGGGGAACAAGACACTGAGACCTGAAAGGAGCTCAGAGAGGCCAGAGGTGCCTCGGAGGCCCCGCCCCTCACACCCAGCCTGACCCTCCGCCCAGGGACAGGCTTGTGCACCCAGCACCCCTATTCCAGGGCTCAGGGTCAGGGCTCAGGGTCAGGGGGCGGTTGGTCAAGACAGACCGACTCCCTCCTCCAACCTCCCCCACTCCCTCCCCGCTGCTCCCCAAACCCTCACCGACTGGACACTAATGGGCACCCCCAGAAACGTCCCTACACAGGACAGGACCACAGGGTCCCCACAGCCGCCCTCAGGCCCCTCAGGGGTGCTCCTCATAGCCCTGTGTGCGCAACCCTGCCCCCCACTCCACCACTCCCACCCCGCCCCCGCCCCCGTGCTCACTTTGCAGGGGCACCAGGAATCCCTCAGACACCCCGTAGTTGTGTCTGCAGTACTTGTCCACCATGGCCCGCTTCTGCTCCAGGAGGTCCTCCTGGCTGTTCCTGTGCTCGGCTTCCAGCCGCCCCACCCTCCCACCCCCTCCCCGCCCCTGCGCTCACTTTGCCTAGGCACCAGGAATCCCTCAGCCCCCATGTAGTTGTGTCTGCAGTATGTGTCCACCATGGCTCTCCTCAGCTCCAGTTCGCGCTCCTTGCTGTTCCAGCCCTTCTCTTCAGGCCGCCCCAGCTCGGTCACCGCCTGGAACTCCCCCAAGTCGCTGTCGAAGAGCACGTAATCCTGCCCGTTGTAGATGTATCTCAGCAGGTACCGCACCCGCTCGGTCCCGTTGGAGAAATGACACTCCTGTTTAACCTGCTCCAGGAAATGCGCTGAGGGAACAGGAAGGACCAGGCATGCTGGTTAGAGTCGATGGTGACACCGACCAGTGCAGGGCGCCATGCGGTGGGGACACAGGACCCAGCACCCCCACTGCCAGCGCCCAGGGGCCCTCCTCTGGGGCTGGGAGGCCGCAGGGCAGGGAGACCCCTGGGACCCTCAGCCACCGGGGACCCACTGGGCTGCCCCGGGGCTCAGGGCTCCAGGCTGGGCAAGGACTTGTGCCATCACCGCCTCCTCCTAGATGCCCCCCCTCACCCCCAGCCTCTCCCCTCCCCACACCCGCCTCCTCCTGTCACCCCCTGGGCAGGGGACCTCCTGCCAGGCCCCAGCTGCCCCGGGACCCAGGCAGGTAACCGGGCATCGCCCTCTGCTCTGCAGCTTAGAATTCATCAAAGTGCCCATCACAGCCCAACCACAGGCGCATCCACACAGGAGGGAGATGGCAGGAAAGGGGCGCCTGGAGCAGGGACCACAGTGTCCAAGTCCCATCAGGGGCGGGGCCAGGGCCTCTGAGTGACAGGATGTGGGGGAAGGTTGCTGTATGTGGGGGAGGGGGCACATTTCAGGAGAAGGCAATGCCACCTGCGAAGCCTGAGAGAACCCATGTGCCTCCTGGGAACCCAGAGAACAGGCTCTGAGCCCAGACAGTGAGAGGAGGGGACAGGAGCCTGGAGGAGGCAGGGTGCTGAGAGCCTGGGGGTGAGTTAGGGGGGCTTCTGCTGCATGTAAGGGAGAGCACTGAGGAGGTTCAGGGGTTACACCCTAATCCCAATAGGGCGCCCTCTCTTTCCTGCATGTCCAACCCAGGAAGCGCACAGAACAGAGCACACCTGTGGTTAAAGCAGGTGGTGGATGGAAGCTCTGACACCATCGCTGGTGTGGAGAGAGTCCCTGCAGAAATGGGAGGCCCTGACTGAGGACAGGGGCCTCCCCACGATGCACGACTCATGGAGGAGAGAAGTGGAAGGTCAGCAGAGATGAGTGACCACAACTCACGGTGTTTTGACAAACATCGCAGAAGGCAAAGTAAAAAGGAAGGTTTTGAACTTCAAGTGATTGAATGGGTTCAACGAGAAAGTGGTGAATTTATGTAACTGTCTAATTTTTTTTCTTAATAAACCCTGAAGAGCTGCATTGGAAGGTGCGTGTGTATAAAGTGTGAGTCTAGAATTTTCAGAAACAGCCGGTGTCCAGCAGTTTCTCACCCTCAGCACTATTGGCGTTTGGACCAGATGATTCTGTGAGGTTGGGGTGGGTGTTCTGTACACAGTGGGCTGCACTCGGCATCCCCACCAGTTGTCAGAGAAACTACTGCATGACAGCCAGACATGGCTTTACATATTGCAGACGTCCCAGGGGTGGGAAGGAGGGAAAGGGGTGGTGAATGGTCTGAAAAATCTGGGGTGAAAAAGCCACTGTTGATTATGCAGGAGCTGAGAGTAACAATAAAAATTCAGCCAATATTGTGTCTGTGGAAAGGCTTGGTCTATATGACATTTATATTCTTTAGGAATCTGGTCCCAGTGCAGACTATTTTTCCAGCAAAATAAACTTGTTCAGGACCAAGATCTACCTGTTTCTTTGCCTTGTTAACTAACCACCAAGTCATCATTTATCCTCCACATCGTCTTCTTTCATAATCTCCCGGCCACTGGCCCACTGCTTGTCCACAGGAGCAGCTACAGCCACGGCCATTCGGTTCCTGTTCAAAGTCCCAACTAATTCACTTTCTAACTGCCTCCTGCTCCCAGTAATACCAGGAGGCATCAGGGTACCAGCCTTGGCCGGATGTGGACTCTCATTTCTACAGGCAGGTCCCTCAGAAGGGGAGCAGGTAAGATGACCCCCTCACATAGACAGATTACAAACAGGAGCAGGTCCCAGACTTAGATGGAGACCTTCACGTAGAAGTGATGGCAGAGAGGAGGGCACTCTTCTCAGGCTCAGTCTTTCTAACTTTTCACAAATTCTCCAGCACCTTCCTGACACCTGAGAAGCTGAAAATAAACATGTGCGAGTTGCTGTTCACTGTAGCCTGTGTGCTCAGCACTATCAGGCCATGCTCATGGGCCCACCTGAAAGGCCACCAGATAAAGCAAATAAAAATACACAATTCCCCGTTACATTTGTATTTCAGATAAATAATTGTTGTTTCTCTGAAATTCAGCTTAACTTGGGCATCCTGTATTTCCTTTGGCAACACAAGCCCACCCGCTGATGAAATCTGAGGCGGAGGAGGGCACTTAAACTTCTTAGTGTTCCTCACCTGCTCACAGCATAGTGTGAGCCCATATGGAACTTCTCAAGTTGTAAATGCAAAATGGATGTAATTTCCTCCTGTGTATCGGAACTGGCAGCCCTTGCACCTGCTGCCTCCAACCCTGAGACGCACGCTGGCACATGGGAACATCAGAAATCTCAGCAGCAAGTCAGACCCAGCCAAGCCCCTGTTCACAGTGGGGGTGGAAGCCCAGGCTCTAGAATGAGGAATCTAAATTAGAACATTAGCTGTCCCACTGGGTCAGATTGTAACACCCATTGGTCTTTTTCTTTATCTCTAAAATAGATTTAATGATACTGTATTCCTCACAGGATATTGTTAAGTGTGGAATTAAATAGTGATTCTTCCTATTGCTGATCAGATAAGCAATCAATAAATAGCTTGCTATTTTAATTCTTATAACCCATAAAAATGCAGGGTCATGAGATCTTTCTATTCCTTAA